AGGAATTAATTAAAGCTACTTTAAAAATTCCACCCAATAAACAATCAAACTTTGATCTTCTTTGAGGATTGGAGGCAGAAATATTGAAGATTAAATCAATTCTGTCTCCTGTTGAGATGATTTTGTACTAAAAAACAACAGAAAATGCCTAAAAAATGTCCAGATTTTCTTAAATTTTCTCTCTAACTCTATTAAAGACAGAAAGCAGGAAGGAATTAATTAAAGCTACTTTAAAAATTCCACCCAATAAACAATCAGAATTTGATCTTTTTTGAGGATCGGAGGCAGAAACAATGAAGATTAAATCAATTCTGTCTCATTTTAAGATGATTTTATACTGAAAAACAACACAAGATGCGTTCAGCCTTTCGAAAACGTCCCGATTTTCTCTTAAATTTTCTCTCTAACCCTATTAAAGACAGAAAGTCTTTACCTCCCCAGGTAGTCGTCTTTATCCGTGTCCTCGTCAAAGAGCTCGATGTGCACGTTGTGCGCGTTGTCGTAAATCAGGGCCTGAAAGCACAGAGAGGATAAAAGAGAATAAAAAAATATAAATAATATCTGAGAAGATTTAGAAACAAAACCAGGCACATCCCGATCCAGATTCCTGATCCCGGCCTATTATTATTAAAGTTTAAAGTTATTTATCTACTTACTTAGCTGTCAGACTCATGTTAAACAGGGATTTACTCTGATAACAACTTAATGGTAAGAACACAAACCTGTGGGTTAGGAGATGCTAATGCTAATGCTAATGCTCTGATAAGTTAATGGTTAGGACACAGACCTGTGGGTTACAGATGCTAATGCTAATGCTAATGCTCTGATAACAACTTAATGGTTAGGACACAGACCTGTGGGTTACAGATGCTAATGCTAATGCTAATCCTAAAGGCTGTGCTGGACAATGACCGGACCAGATATTAGGGAACACAGCAAAGAGGAATGGGTTATTTTAATCTATGTGCTGGAAAACACGGTTCAGACTTTAAAAATGTAATTTATTTATTGGATCAGGGGTCCAGACAGGCAAATGAACCAAATTAGGTTAATTTTTGTTAATTTTTTAAGGGTTTTTCTTAGATTTACTAACTTTCTGGGGTCTGAAGCTCTTTTATACTCCACCTCTTCGTCTTTTTCGTAAAATAATCCCACACAATTGACATTTTCCAGCAAAGTGGAATAGATTATTTTAATTATTTAAAACACGGATCTGACTTTTTTTTAACACTGGATCGGGAGTCTGGATCTGTATTTTCTCCTGCCAGCTGATACACATTTTTTTGCTAATTATTGCTGATTTAATCCAAATATCGGATCGGGACGAGCCTAATATAAGGTGTTTATAACTCGCTGCCAATTATTCAGAGTATAAAACACAGACCAGATTAGATCCAACATGAATATGATGGTGAAATACGATCATTTTTCAAAGTGCTTTTACCCTAATTTGTCCTAATTTATACATATACCTACATATACATGTATATACAGTGGGGGAAATAATTATTTGACCCTTTGCTGATTTTGCAGGTTTGCCCACTTACAAAGAATGCAACGATCTATAACTTTAATCATATGTCCATTCTAACAGTGAAAGACAGAATCCCAAAGAAGATTCCAGAAAATCACATCATATGAATTTATAAAAATTGATAACCATCTGATGAGGAAAAATAAGCATTCTTTGTAAGTGGGCAAACCTGCAAAATCAGCAAGGGGTCAAATACTAATTTCCCCCACTGAATATTTTTTTATCTAGACAAAAGATCCCAAAGATGTCCGGAAAAAGGCCTCGGACTGACCTCGTACACCTCGTTCCACTTGGGGTGGACGGTGTCGTGGATGACTTTGCTCTGGAAGATCTGCGTCCCCACCTCGATGACCCCGTAGGGGTCCGACTTGCCTTTGATCAGACCCCCCAGGAACTTGTCCTTCCCCAGGAGGTCCTGGGCCTCCAGGAAGTGGATCCTCAGCACCCCCTGGAGGAGCAGCAGAGCATGGATTAGTTGAACTTAAATCGGGATTTAAATGAAGCAACTGGAGCTAAACTAAAAGGTTAAAACACATAAATAATAACAATATCTTTCGTTTTGTTTCCAGAAGCTAAACGAGCAGCTTTAATGCGTCAAAATGCACCAAAAAAAAGTAAATACGCTCCTTTTAAACAGGAAGCAGGTAAAAAAACGAACAAAAGTAAAAAATTTTCTTTTTTTTTAAAGCATAAAAGATCATTCGAAGCCTCAGGCTGACAAGACTGTTTTTCTACTCTCTAACCCACAAATATGGAGAATCAGACTCACAAAAAAAGCCTTTTATCCAAAATAAAAGCTTGCAGCGTCACAAA